CTGACGACTTCGACGGATACAGCCATATATAGGAATAATGTCTCCCCGTTGACCGGTCGGGATAGTACGGCCGACTGTGAAAGACTTTATTTGAGATGGAGAAGGGCCTGTTCGTATTCCTTGGTCCACTCGAAAGCTGCTTCCTTACGCAGGAGTTTGAAAAAGGGTAGGGCGTGTTGAGCGGATTTTGCAACGAAACAGGAGAGTGAGGCGAGCATACCATTCAGGACTTGTATGGATTTTTTCGAAGTGGGCGTAGGGAGGTCAGAGAACGCCCGACATTTATCGTGATTGTCTTTGATTCCTTGTTATGTTAGGTAGAAGCTGAGGAACTTGCCCGCCTTAATTTCGAAGGTGCACTTCTCGGGGTTGAACCTCATTCTACACTGCCTTGCTTGGGCGAATACTTTCCTGAGATGCATGGCATGGTCGGTGTCTACTCGGGATTTGACGATCATGTCGTCCATATATACCTCGAGCATATCTCTAATCTCGTTGTGGAAGACTTTGTTCATCATCCGTTGATATGTTTCTCCTGCGTTTTTCAGACCGAAGGGCATTACATTGTAGTAATTGTTGCTCGAGCTGGTCATGAAAGAAGTGCAGTGTTTGCCGCTCATTGCCATTGGGATTTGGTTATAGCCCAAATAGGCATCCATGAAAGATAAAATTTTATAGCCAGCCGAGTTGTCGACCATCATGTCGATATTAGGCAAAGGAAATGCATCTTTAGGGCATGCCCGGTTAAGATCAGTATAGTCAACACACATACGCCATTTTCCATTACTTTTCTTAACGAGTACAACATTAGACAGCCAGGTTGAATACCGGGCTTCTGAAATAAAATTTGCCTCTAGGAGGTCTTTTATAACTTTTTCAGCAGCCCCCGTTTTCTCGGGGGATTACCTACGCCTACGTTATACTACTTCCCTAGCGGCTGAATCGATGGCGAGTTGATGACAGGCGACCTCGGGGTCGAGACCAGGCATCTCTGTGGCGCTCCACGCGAACAAATCTATGTTCTCCCTCAAGCAGGTCTTGATCTGCTTCCTCGCCAGGTCGGGGAGTCCTGTGCCTATCTTCACCCCTCTGCTCGGGTCTTCACCAAGAGGGACGGGCTTGAAGTCCCCATCTGCAATTGGTTGAAGGAGCTCCTGCTCGTCGTTCGAGGGTTTGTCTTGGTCGAAGCAAGTGTCCAGCGAGATCGAATTGACCTTTGGAGGAGCCCTCTACACCCCCGCTTTGATGGGCTATGGCTCTGACTGCCGAGGCTCTGGTTGCGCAGTTGCAGCTTTCTTGGCGGGCCGTGCTCCAGTGTCGACTGTGCTTTGTCCCTTGGCCACCGTGTTGAAGCATCTTCAGGAGGCTTCTAGGTCGCCTTGAATGGTGGCAACCCATTCCCTCTTCGTGTAGAACTTCATCTTCAAATGGACGGTGGAGGGCACCGCAGTCAGCTCTTCCAGTGCCGGCCTCCCTAGGATGCAGTTGTAGAGGGACAAGCAGTCGATGACGAGGAAACGCACCTTGACTTGCCTGGTAGCAGTATCTTCGCCGAAGGTGACCATAAGTTCCATGTACCCCCATGGCTTGGAGGTCAAGCCATTAAAGCCCTGCAAGTCTGATCCCACGTATGGTGGAAGGCGAGAGTCGTCGAGCTGCAGGGTTTTGAAAAGTTAGTTGTACATCATGTCGACAAAACTTCCCTCGTTGACCAGAACGTGATGAATGTCGAAGTTAGCCATTCTCACCCTGACCAGATGAGGGATGGCTGAATTGGGGGCCCCTTTGGGCAGTTCCTCGAGGTAAAAGGTGATCGGCTCTGATCTGCCTTTAACCCTCTCAAAGGTCACCATTTACGGGGGAGCCGCGTTAACCAGCTCGTCCAGCTTCCTCTTTGCTGAATTTATAGTTAGTTCATTAAACCCTCCACCATTTATGACCATGGTGAAGGAGAAGTTTTCCCACCTGCTGTGCGTAGGCAGGGGCTCTTGCATATGTTCGGGAACGTAAAAGTCCTCTGGTCTCGTAACGGAGAATGCGGTATGGATGGGGACCGACTCGTCAGATGGTCGGGCATCCTCCTCTATCTCCCTTGTTTCACGGGTATCTTGATAGGGGACGTCGCCGCGTCGATATTGCCCGAGTCTCCCCCTTTTATGAGAGTATCGATAGCATCCTTGAGATGGACAGAATCTTTAGTCAAGTGCCCATGGCTCCGGTGATACTGGCAGTATTTTCTTTGATCTGCCCCGGGTTTAGCAGGATCGAGGCGAGGACGCTTGATGTCGCCGTCCTTGAAATCTTTATTCTCGCACTCCGCTAAGATGCGCTCGCGGGAAGCCGTTAGCGGAGTGTACTTAGTAAACCTCCCAGAGGGTCCTCTTCGTTCCCGAGGGTCTCGGGGTTTGTCTTCCCTTCTCTTCTCGCCAGTTCGTCGAGGAGGGGTGGTGTCTTATCACGGATGACTGGTAGATCCATGACTCCTGGGATCCCAGGTTCTGTTGGCCGCTTCCCTCTCCTCGTAGTCCATGTAGGCTCTGGATTTCTCGAGGAGGGCATCGAATATCCGGGGCAGTTCGATGCCTACGACCTTTCTGAATTCCGTGCTCGGGAGGAGTCCCCTCTTGAGCAGGTATCTCTTCATGTGATCGGTACAGGGGACCTGGACGGCCTCCCGGTTGAACGGATCAATAAATTCCCTCAGGGTCTCATCGTGTCTCTGGACGATGGCCTCGAGGGCTGCTTCGGCCTTTGGGTGGCGTCGTGAAGCAGTGAATGAACTGATGAATTGGTTCTTCATATTTCGCCAGGAGGTAATTGACCCTGGGGCGAGACTTTTGTACCAGTCCATCGCAGCTTTCCTCAAAGTCGTGGGGAACAACCGGTATTTGATTGGTCCCCCGGCATTGTGATAATGTAGCGTGGCCTCAATCCCGTCTATATGGTCGACCGGGTCGGTGATGCCGTCATATTCCTTTAGGTGGGGAGGCTTCTCCATGCTTGGGGGAATGGGTGCCTCCATGATGGCTTGTGACAAAAGACCGCGGGGGTCGTCCTCGTCACTCTGTTCGGGCAAGCGAGACGGGGATCTGATGTAGTGGCGGTTATGGTGGCCTTGGTTGTGCGGAGCGTTCCTCGGGCGGTACGGTTGCTCGTTGTTTCCCCCGTTTCTGTCTCTCGAGGGTCTTCGTTCTTGACGCGAGGGGCCGTGATCGCGTCTCCCCGTGTCAACGGACTGGTCCCTTTCCAATGCGGGGCGTCGCCCGATTGGTCGGGGAGAAGGGCTTCGAGAGATGTCCCGACTACGTCTCTGCGGGGGAGATTTGGGATGTTCCTCTGCTTGTCGAAGAGGAGGAGACTGAGGTCTCCTGTGTCTTCTGGGGGCTCTCCGAGCATCTTCGAGCGCCCTCAATCTTTCTCCTTAAGTGAAGTCGGGTAGTTGGTTTGATTTATCACCGCAAACAGTGCCCTGGTCGTGGGGTCTGCTCCAGCGGGAACAGGGACCTCATGGAACTGAATGGGTTGGTAGTTATGGGGAGGTGGCCGATCGTCTTCGAGTCGTGGAGGCAATGATGATGACAAAGCAGTTTCTCCGTCTCTATAGTCATAAGGCTCAGGCATATTAATGGCGGGGGCTGTGCTGTGGCCGACGGTACCAGCGTTGTCGAGGCCGGCATTATTGTCGGCGATGTTGTTGTTGACGTCGATGATACGAACATTCATGTTTTCTGCAGTCTGGTCAGCCATGACAGTCGAGGATTGTTTAGCTTTGGTCTCGAGTAAATGGAAGACGGGGAAACAAGTTTCCTACAAACGGCGTAACTGATCTTATCGAATCAGAAATGGACCGTCACAGCTAGCTCGGGCAGAAGTTGAATGAGATGGGGAGGGTATCTGCAAGACACTCCGATAGCAAAGTAAGTTGCAGAATGAGCAAGCAAGTGTAAGAGTTAGAAAGTGTTGAATACCTGATCCTCTTAGGAGAGAGGGTATTTATAGCCCCCAGTACTGGGCCAAGTCCCCATTATTGGGCCACGTTGAGGTCCAATAACAGGAATTGTCAGGGCTTACGTGTGTATGGAGTCCAGCAAGTGGACTCCCCCCTGGTCAACTGCTCCGCGAGAATATGGTTGAACCCGTGATTTCCGGAGGGCAGTTTAAGATGACTGTCGTGGGATCGTGGGCCATGTCCTCTAACCGTCGTGTGGAGAGTTGCCCAACGGTCCCTAACTTGGACTTTGTTTTTGGGCTTACCATTCGAAAGACAAGTGCAGGCCCAATCCAGATCACCACCATAAAAATATTTATAATTTTTAATGCTAACTTGAAATAAATATTTATTTTTTATCAAAATTTTAAATATTAGTTTTGGTTTTTAAATAAAAAATATGTTAATTTTTTTAATTGATGATTCAACCTATCAACTCACTAAACCATTACTAAACAAGGCAAAGTTTGATTTTAAGGATTTAGTTGACTCGACTTATTCTCTTTTTTAGTTGATTTAAGTGAAGTGAATGTAAACAAAATAGAATTTTATTTTAGACTAAACTAATTAAGTTAGACTAAATTTGTGGAGCTATCATAAAAATAAAATAATTTATTGTACCATCTTTTTATATTAAAATAAAATATTTAAAAAATATAAAAGGTAAAAATGAGATAAAAGAGTTACACTAAAAAATAAAATAAAAACTGAAAATTGAAATCAACAACCACCTTAAAAAATAAGCTAAACACTCCTCCACCCTTGTTTGCCGGCGGCGGCGGCGGCACCAGCACACGAAAGAACTTCTGAATCCTTCAACATCGACTATTAAGGTATTTAATTTTAAAATTTGGTTTTAGGGTTTTGTGAAATTTGTTTTTCCCTTTTTCAAAATTGCGATAAAGGAAATGTGTAGGTTGAAATTACTTTGTGATAAGATTTTGTGTGTGATTCTACATTCTCTCATTCTCTGTATATTTTGCTTAGGTTGTTGGATCAGTTCAGTTGAATAATGAAGTTTGGTAGAACAGATTTATTTTCTATTTTGCAAGATGTAAAACGCCAAGGGAAAAAGATCAAACTTAAGAGGAGGTAACATTCATTTTTGACTTTTGTTTTATTCTGATATTAGATATATTCACTAAAATATAGTTACATTGAAATGTTACTGGTTTACTGGTGCAGGTGGTTATTGGGCTTACCTATCACAAAACGCGAGAGGAAGAAGTTAAAGGAAAATCGCAATAGGTGCGCTTCGTTTGTTCAATAATTTACTCACCAAGTTTCACTCTAATTTATTTTTTATTTTTCTGTCTACAGGTATTTGCCCGAGTTACTCAGAAAAGATGATGTAGGTTTTATTTATTGTATTATCAGTTATCGTAGTTACATGTATAGCTCTTTCAAGATTTCAATGATAAATTGATAAATGATAATCTAATAATCCTTTTCAGATGTTTTATGAGTCAGTTAGAACTCATGTTGAACGCGCTTTTGGGGCACACTACATTGAAAGAGAAAACTCTATCCCTCAGGATGACAAGGATTTGAACCGAATACCGGACTTAAATAGGTTGATGTTATCATGCCTTGATAATTTGACTACCAAGGGTTTATACCTTCTTGCTATGATAGTTAGTGGAGACACTGCCAAGTATGAAAGAACTCGAGGTAGTTTGAAAAAGATTATCAAGGATTCTATTTCAAGTCATCTGAGTAGCGAAAGACGTAATGACCAACAACTGGAAACTCGTAAACAGATTTTTCAACTTCTCAACAATCCTCTACATTTTCGACGTAAGTGTGAGCTTTTACCTGGATCCGAGTCCCAATTTTATCATGCTGCTGCAGTAAAGGTTTTATGCGGACTTGAAAAGTTACCATCCCAAACCTTGATTGCAATGCGTAGAAAACTTAAAGGAATTAAAGCACCAATGCCTCAGTTGCAACCATGCAAACACGGATGGGGACGAGGCCATCTCATCAAACTAGTGGATAAAATCTGTAGGAAGATGCTTTTAAAACTCGATGAAGGAAATGAGCTACAAAAGCCATTAGCCAAAGCTATGTCAGTAGCAGACTTATCACTAAAACTAATGTTTGGTTTTGGTAGCATGTTCTTAGAAGAACTTTACCAGTTCTCGCCTGAAGTGAAGTCCTTGCAGAGTGATATTTTGAATGCTATATGGTCTGTTGAGAAAAAGGAAGTAGTGCCATTGAAAGTTCTAAGAGATTTACAGCTTCTCATAGAACCAAATACTACAATTACAAATAAGAGTTTACGCACAGCTTTTGTGAATCTTTTGACTGAATTTCTTTTTGAGTCCAGTGATATGGATAGCACTCCAAAGTCTTTATTGCAGATCCTAGATGTTATCAATAAGTGCTCTAATAAAAGCACACACGATGCAACAGTCCAGAAGAAGCATATTGAAGAAGAAGTTGACTGCATACTAAGTGTGAGTGCTCAGACAAATCAAGTTATTCAAGACTTGTTGCCCGACTGTGAATTTGACCAGGACTTTACGGATGCTTATATGGAGCAATCAGAAGAAAGTGATGAAAGTGAGAGTGACTGTGATAGTGATAAAGATGACGGTGATAATCAACTTTTTGATAACAGACAATTTAAAAATGGATCATTCAGTACAGCAGATTCAGACTACAAAGGAGAAAGTGTTGGGGATTTTATGCCATCTGAGATCTATCCTTCTACCACTATGACCGAGGAAAGGTTCAATATTGCTTCTGAAAATCTTCAACCTATGGACTGTGATACTATAAATTTGGAATCAGAAATTCGCAACAATAACCAATGCCAAGAGGGAAGCACAAAGCAGTTCTGTACACCAATGGCTAGGAAAAACTATGATTCTTCAGTTGTGTCACCTGACAAAGAATCGGGTGAAAATATTGTCAAGAGACATGAATTTCATGAATCTTACACTAAAGTTGATCCAAGAGATACATCTAATTTTTGTGAGGAGATGGAACCCCCGCCCACCAAGCACATCGCACGCAAGAACCAGTACCTTGCATCCCAAGATGCTTGTGACAAGACAGCAATGCTTGCATATAATCTCATAGGTCATTTGCTTGAAGAGTTTGCAATAGCTGAAGGCCTGAATTTAGACTTGAGCAAGAGGTCATACCTCAATTGTGATAAGCAAATTGAAGAAGCCAAAGGTACTGAAAATTCCATTACTACCAATACCACTAACACCAATTTATCCCCAAAATGTTGTATGATTTATTTTAATATATTGTGAATGATATCTAACTAGTGTTTTGGTATAAACACATCAATTAATTCTTGTGTGTCAGCATTGATTATCTAGCTTTATTTCATGCAGAAACTAATGAGCGGTCATCATCTAAGAAACGTACAAGAGGCCCGGCTATTGTTCGAGTAATTGAAGAGCTTATTCCTTCCTTTCCAGATAGGTATTTGTTACGTTCCTCAATTATGGTAGCATTACAAGAAATGTTGTGTATAACATTGCATGATTCTCTCAAAAAATGTCATGATATAATTTTTCTAAATAAGCTTTACTCATTTGCATCTTTGTGAAGTACAACTTAGATTCATAGCAAAGATGTTAGGTGGTTTTATTTTTGGGCATATAAATACACACTAAACAAGCTAAATTTATGTCTTTGAGTATGAGTAACTCTTGTGTTTTGGACACTGCAGTAGCATGGAAAGACTGAAGATATTGATGGACTTATGATAATGGAACTCGGGCTTTCAGGTTCGACTAGAGAAGAGCATTTTGAGAAATTTTTTTGAGGAACTAAAGCTACGCGAAACTGATGCTTTAGAAAATCAGCGACATGCTGACATGGCTCTCCTTGAGTCAATGAAGAGCGCATCTCAGTATTAGAAAGAAGTAGACAAGTGTAATTCTGGTATGGAAACGTGCGAGCAGGCGAGGGAGAAAGCCGAGTTGGCATACCAGAGTAGTTATAACTAAATGTAACCAACTAAGTTGAGTCAGTACATATAACTGACTGAGTAACTAACTCAATTAGTCACACCATGTACAAACAGTTACAATGAAATGATTTATTTCTGAAGAAATATAATAACATAATTCTCTTTCTCTGAATACTAAAGTTTTCTAGAAGATGAATTATGCATTTTCTCCCGATTTCTAATAAAGAGTGTGTTAGTCGTGATAAGAACGGAAAAGTATTAGCTTTTTTTCCGTCACTTGTAATCTATCAATTAAAATGTGGATAATGTTAAGCTTTTGAGATTTTATAGAATCTCACATTTTGCATGTGAATGTATGGTTGATTTGATTTTAACTTATGAAAAATTCTGTCACAAGTGCAAAGAATTATTCCTTCATTGATGTTATTATTGTATACATGAATCAAAATTTAAAAGTGTTTATTGAGATACAGGTAATCCTTGTATATCGCGAACGAGTAACCTCACACATTGTGTGCCAATATCACTCAAAACTTCCACACATTCCTTCAAATCCGAGTCATTCACCAACATCACCCATTCCTCTTCATCATCTAGATACTTGAGTTGAAATGAACCATTTTGTAACTTAAACCTTGTTGCAACTTCTTCGTACAGTTGAAAACAACCTACACACGGATCGAACTTGAAACGAATAGTATCGCCTCTAAAGCTAGCTTTGACAGCGAATTTTGATTCGCTGTCAACACAAATTGAACTGATTTTTGAGTGCTTTTGGTTCTCAATGCTTTGAGAGCCTGATGAACTTCCATGCACCATTGGTCCGGAGGCATTGGATGAATCTGTCATGCTTGAAGAAGTAGGGTTGTTTTGTTCATCAACTCCTTTTCCTTCATCCAAACCAAGTTCAATCAATGTGAATGAACTATTAGAGTTAATATCATGCAAACTACTATTGTTCAAACCACATTGATCTTCCTCTATCTCAAGAACAGAACATATAGAGTTTTGTTTAGGACAAAGCCATGATGTTGAATCTGGAATACAGTCAACAGAAGAAACATTGTCTTTCTTCAATTCTTCCTCGCATAAGTTTGAAATAAGAACACCATCATCCTCTAACTTAACGGTCGAGTTCTCTATTGAGATTTTCTCAGGAAACACGGGAGCTTTATTATGCGTACCAATCTGTTGGATGATTGATCCTCCTGCAACAAATCCACCAGTGTGAGGGTCAAATTTCAGCACTCCTTCCACTCCTTGGACAGAATCAAGAACAGTTTGTATTTTCTTCAATGACCGGTTCACTTTATTTATCTTGCGTGATGGCCATCTTGAAATTCCATGTTGCCTGCATATTCTCTTCAGAGTTGTTGGACAAACTGTTTGAAGAAAAAAACATGAAATTTTCATTGAATAAATTTCCATCACAATAAGCTGAGTTAATAATATAATGAAATCATTTTCGCAAATATCGATGTCTCACCTCCAATTCTTTTTGCAGCATCCTTCAGACTACCAGAAAAGTATTGTTGCAGAACACTCAAGCTAACATTCTTCTCCACCGCACTTCTCTTTTTCTCAGCCAGCTTTCTTGATCCATTTAATGCCTATAACAAAAACTACTAAAATGTTAAAAAACATGGTTTCAAAAAACACTAAATGATATTCTAAAAGGATGAAAAAACAGAATATTCGGTCGAAATATACCTGAATATGATTAGCTTGATTTCCATTATTCTTTAGGTTAATTTCATTCAATGACATCTGAAATAAATCATGGTCATCACTTGTAAATGCTATCTGAGAGCTTCCCTTAGACATTGGAAAAAAACTAGAGACGTTTTCGTTACGAAAGCGATCTCGAGAACCTTCCAACCCTCTTAATTCACCTTCTGAAACGGTCCTCAAACTCTTGCAAATTCTCCTCATAGTATCTGACAAATTGTCTAATAAAAGCTGTTGTTCTGAACTCCCTGTCATATTGATGGGAAGAAAGAATTCTAACACGTAATCATCGTCGTTCGTATAAGTACTCCTTAACCTAGTTGCAACCGCAGCGTTCAAGTTATATTTTCGCGCGTGATGAACAAGCGGATATTCACTAATATCATAAGTCTTCACGTCAGTATAGAAAAATGGATGATTTGATTGAAGAGCTTTTCCTGATATACCCTGTCCTTCCTCAAGATGATGTTCAGAACACGCATGAACAAACCCTCCTACCGTTTTATCATTTATATAACAAGCCGATTCTTCAATGCATAGTACACATTTTTCATCAGAACTTTTTGTATGGCCTTCTTTAATTCGTATTTTCTCAGATTCTCCGCCTTTCCCCTCAGTATAACAACACGGAATCCATGTCAGTGCTAGTGGTAATCTATGTGCATGGCAAACAGCTCTTAATATATCCGTTATCTCGGTTAATGCAGCTCTTTTGTTGTTCGATACACACTGCATAAAAAAATGAATCTCTTGAGAACTTCAGAAACCCAGAAAAAAACATATATCAGAAATTAGCAAATACCTGAGGGATTAGTCGCGGAGGCGTAATAGTTCTTAAATTCACACGCTGCGAAAAGTCACGGAAAACACTTACTTTTCTTAGTAGTTGAAGATTACAATTTACAATCATAAAATATATAGTAGCAAAAGAAAAAACCAACCTGGAGTGCATGAGAAACAAATTCCAACTCTTTGTCGAAATTCGGTTTTTCGGTTGTAGTAACAAGTTCTAGTACAGCACTACATGAAACTTCAGAGTGCATATCAGATATAGGAAGAGCAATTGAACCGCGAACCTCGTGACTAATTGCATGATCTAATCTCAAATACTCAGATTTATGATAGTAACCAACATTCGAGGTCCATTCCGAAACATGCGAGTTATACACGCGGCCGGGAAGTCCAGGACAACAAGACCCCGTTTTCATTTGAGCAGAAAACGTAAACGACCTCGACACTTCGCGATAACCTGCAAGCTTTTGGTCTAACAAATATGGTTGATCACTAGTAGTTAAGACGAACTCGTCGCCATATTTTACAGGCACCCAAACTTGTGCTAATATTCCTCCACCAGCTGATTCCTTAAAGAATGATAAAGCATTCATCATTCTCTCATCAAGTGACCAACTTGGCGATTTCGATATCATGTAATTACACATATCAAATGAACCATTTTGTTCTTGTTGTGAATCTAAATTAGTATTACTATTATTATTCGTTTCGTTATCTAAGAACTCAAGTTGAGTTTCCATTTGTTGTAATAGTACTTTTTCACTATCCATCATAACATTGTAATTTCCACCAATTTCTGTCATGAAAAATGGACCATCAATATGTTCAACTAAACTCAATCCATCATGAGGTGAATATGCAAATGATGAAAGATCATTAGTTAGAGTTTGATCTGATATCGACGAGGAAGAGCCGTTGCACCAACCAGCATAGCTGTCAAAGTTCATCAGCTCAGAGATGTTGTTAAACATGTCATCTGAAGCGGTTGAACTTTTCATTCCATTATCCAATTGTGTCCAGAAGCTAATTCCTTTCTCCTTTGAAGAAAACTGATCTTCCATGTTCAAGTTGTAGAGAAAATTTGAAATAAAAAGAATAAAATTAAGTATAACAAAAACCTGAAAGCTTGAATCCAAGCTCCATATATAGCAAGTTCCTTCACTGAAAACAACATGTAACATAGAAGTTAGATAGTTTCTATAAAAGGAAAGGTACTAAGGAGTGAAGGTAGGAAAGTGTACGGCACTTTCACAGAAAATAGGTTACTAAAAATAGAAAGTGGTTATCATGGTCGACCCACCACACCACAACCTCGTACTTAGTGTTACCTTAATCATGTTATCACTCATAGATTGTGTTGTGGAGACAAATAATATAACATAAACATAAAATGTATTTAATGTAGGATAGGTTGCTTTCGGATTTGTGTAATTGATTAATACATATTGCAATAGAAGTAATAAACCACCTGGATTGAAATAGAATCTAGTGGCTAGACAATGATATTTTATGAAGGAAAAAAAGCAAGCATAAAAATATTCTGGTGACACATTAAGGATGTTGATAATGATTTGATGTGTTTTTTATTTAGTTCTTTTAATCATTTTCGAACCTTAAAGTTGACTCCTAGTGATTATGTTTTGTCATCCGTACTCTACGGTCGTATATTTATGCTTATTTATAGATTCTCTTTGGGTAAAATTATTTATTATTGACTGACAAATATTTATTATTATTATTATTATTATTATTATTATTATTATTAATAATAATATTTTTAATCATATAAATTTATTCGAGTTAGAGTATTGAAATTATTTTGAGACGGACTGGATTTAATATTTAAGAAGTATGAGTTAAATACTTTCAATGTATCAACAATCATCAGAGTTGCACACAAAATATATAAGATATAAATAAACTTTTTATGGGTTGGTTACTCTAATTTAGTTGGTAATTGATTAGATGGTGATATATTTTTGATGCATTTTAATTTGTATTATATAATGCGTTTTATTGTGGAATCATAATTGATCAGTAAACGATGAGGCAAAGTTTGCTGCAATGGTCTCGAGTTTTCCATGCAATGGAGAGCGAGTTAACCCACAAGGTTTGTACTCCAACACTCTAAGAAAGTGAGAAATAATGTGTAAATGAGAATGAATTTGAATACCTAAGAAATGACACATTTTCTCTCTTAAATAGGAGAAGCGATTATCAATTGAAAGCATGGAGTGAGGTGTGAATCACTGTCACCCGTCAAATAGATATGGA